CGGGTTTTGGGTTTTTTTTTGGTTTTGCTTTTTTTTTTTTTCATGCTGCGCTGCCATTAACCTACGGGTTTGGAAACCTGTCCGAAAGCCCAGACAGCTCCAGGTTTCGGGAGAGGAAGGGACAGGGGTTTTCCAGCTCGTTCCCGCCGGGAAGGTCCCTGCGCAGGGAGTCCCCGCAGCCCGGCCAAGGGAGCGTTTCCCTGGTGCTGCAGGACCCGGGTAGAACACACTCCCGTTAGGAAGCCCCCCAGGCCTTTACACAACCCAGGCACGGAGCTGTCCTGTCCCCACCAAGCCATCCCACCTCCCCTAGAACTCGGCAACGCGGCGTGGGAAGGAGCCGGACAGGAGGTTTTTGGGGAAGGCCGCTAGCTCTTCCGTCACTTTGGAGAGGACTTTGCAGAAAATCCATACCAGAGGCGCTGAAAGGCCGGGAGAGAAGGAAATACACCCCAAATTCCGTGTCAGTATCGAGCGACCTCGCAACTGTACCGCGCTGTGCACGGCGAGGGGGAGAGGGGTGGGCAGCTCCCGTCGGGCCCCTCCGGGAGGTCGTGTCTCAGAGAGCCCAGGCCGGGATGCAGCAGGAGTGGGGAGCGCTGATTTACACCCTCTCCCCCCCCGGGCCGGGATGCAGCAGGAGTGGGGAGCACTGACTTACGGCCCCGCTCCCCCCGGGGGTCCCGGGCGGGAGCGCTCCTCGCCGCTGCTTTAAAAGGGGTTTGTCAGCTGGAGAGGAGGGGAAACACGTCCAGGAGCGCCTCCATCGCCGGTTCCGCGGTTTGGTTTTTTTCTCTCCGCCGCGCGCCGCTCGTTCCCGGCCCCCACGCAGCCGTCGGAGCCGCTCGGAGCGCTGCTCCCGGGCGGATAACGCAGAGAGGATGCCACCGGCAGGAGAGAGACAGCAGGCAGCACATGAGACATGAGTCCCGGGCGGATAACGCAGAGAGCTCCGGCGATGCCACCGGCAGGAGAGAGACAGCAGGCAGCACATGAGCTGGGAAGAAGGAGCAGAGAGCAAAGCCGCATCCCCGCCTCCAAGGATTTCCTACCGCGAAGGGGGGAAAACAAGGAGGAATCAAGAATTTTACTGGGGGAGGGAGTTCAGGGAGTGAGCGGGAGCCCGTGTGCCTGTCTCCTGCCGTACACGCGAGTATTTATTGTTTTAATAATCCGTGCTTGGAGTGTCCCAAGGAGCGGGGGAATCCCCGAGGCGGGGAGAGGAGGGGGCTGTGCGGGATGGGGGGGGGGGTTGGGGGGTGG